ATCTCCATTAATAAGAATTTTATTTACGTCATTATAAGAATTTTTTTCCACCATCAATTATCCTTACCATATCTGTCGATTCTAGAAATATGCTTAACCTTCCCATTATCATATCCACTCTTTTTCCACCATACATTATCATTACCATATCCATCAATTCTAGAAACGTGCTAACCTTCCCATTATTATACCCACTCTTTTTCCACCATCCATTATCCTAACCATATCCATTAATTCTCATGCTTAACCTTCCCATTATCATATCCACTCTTTTTCCACCATACATTATCATTACCATATCAATCAATTCTAGAACCGTGCTTAACCTTCCCATTATTCTATCCTCTCTTTTTCCATCATACATTATCCTTACCATATCCATTAATTCTAGAAACGTGCTTAACCTTCCTATTATTATATCCACTCTTTTCCCACCATACATTATCCTTACCATATCCATTAATTCTACAAACGCGCTGAACCTTCCAATTGTTATATCATTATAACCATGATCATCATTTTTGTTATAGTTTAAATGTAGCCACCATTTCCGCCGTATCGAATCCTGTCCATACTCACCACTTTTTACATCTATTTGCAGGCCACCATTGTCGTAGACATCACTTTCCTGCCTTACCGAATCGTCGTATCCTTCATTACTCGCAGAGTAATGTAAATCTTTTTCTTTCTTGTTACTCGTTTCACCTATATATTAATCATTTTGATCTCCAGTTTTGATATATTTCGTGAGGCCTGAAATGGAATCGGCCGTAGTATCATTTTTTCTATTATAGGATTAATATACACCAATAATGACTCTATTTAATTACAGTGTACGATTTTTTTTTAATTCAAAACTTCTTTTTACAACTGAATAGTAATCCTTGTTTATTTGTTAAAAGTATGTCAACTGAGCTGGCATATAATGTCACATGTTACGATTAAATACAATGCATAAATAAAATCATAAAAATTATAAATAATATATTTCAAGATAAAAAATTTGAAAGAAAAATTGTAGCACATTACAATCAAACACTTTGAACTGTTTGTTAAATATTGCTAATATTGTTAATAAGTGCACAGTTTATTTATGGTAAACACTCTTGTTTATTCAATTAATGATTTCCTCTATTGAGGCCATTAATAAATGCATGCATATATCTGAACAGAAAAATTGTAGAAAAAATTAGCCAAGTCCAGCTCAGAAAGAGAAAGAAATCTACTCCTCAATGTTTTCACATATTATAATATCTTACGAATTTAAAATCAATGGGACTAACAAAGTTTAAAAAAAAACAACAACAACAAAAACGAAAAAGTGATCATATTACAGACTCGTTATCCGTACAAGTTTTAAAGTTTTAGCATACTGTTTTAGATTTGAGGTATAGTGCGAATCAAGTTACAGACTATCTAAAGCATCAACATCTTACCACAAGTGTAAAAACACTACACCGTTTCTAGAAGAAGGGAAAGTTTCAACAACCTTCTCATTGTTCTGTCACAAGAGTAAAAAAACTGTTCAAACGGAGTGATACATTTCGATCGAGTGAGTAAGTGCTGTATGCAGTTTGACTTACATTACAATATATTAAAGTAGTAGAACATATGTCGAAGTAAACAAGATGTATTTCTGTAACAAAGAATCAAATATGTACATAACCTATTTAATAAACAGCTGCGCCATGGGCACTTAATACGCCCTTATTGTGCATAGGATATTTCGACCGCATTTAATCATAAGCAAATATAATGGCTCTATAGAAAAACATGCATGAAAATACAGTTTCTTAAATCAAACAGTTTGCTATGTTCATCAAATTCAACAATTATGTAAAGGTTATAGGAAATCAATTTAGGAATACTGGAGTTGATGCGCGAATTGTGAAAAATTGCCGCAAATGTAACAGTTAAAGTTCCTTAATTCCGTAACGACAAACCGAAAAATAAAAAAATAACGCAAAGGAGCTTCCTTTAATGTTGTGTTATCGTACGAAGTGTTAACGGACGAATGGATAGACGAACGAATGAACGGATGGACGGATATTGGTATACCATATTACAAGAAAGACAGACAACATTCAGGCCGACACTTCTTTATTTCTGTTCTAAATAAAGATTTTAAATCAACTTTGCCTTAGGCAGTAGTAACCTCAGTTTATGCCAATTATAAAAAAAACTTTTACCAGAGCACTGGCTACTGAGCGTGTGTTACTCTTCGAGGTGATCATCCGAAGAGCAGCTCAATTATCGACATTTTATAGTTATAGTTTAAACCTTAGTAAAAGAAAGGCGGAATATGTCAAAAAGATATTCAAACTCATAAATCGAAGACCAATTGACAATTCAAAGGCCAAACAAAACAAAACTAAAAACGACGAAAAGTCAAACAACAGTTTATAAATCACAACATTGAAAACTAAAGACTGAGCAGCACGACCCCTATCCAATAATAAAAGAGAAAAAAAATAAATAACGGGGGGAATCTAAAACTTATCAATAACTAAGGTTATATCCAAATGTGTACAATGCATTATGACAAACGGTGGACGTAATTATGTATAAAGAAAATCTCAGACATCAGGTTAAAGATAATAAAGAACATTTTTCATCGTATAGAGGACACTGATTTCCTCTAGATATGATCCATTTCTTTTGGATGTATTGTTGTGTTGCTATCTGGGTGAGGTTTGGCTTTAATTTCTATCATTTTCATCGTATTATGGACATTTCCTCTAGATATGAGCCATTTCTTTTGTATGTTTTTTGTGCTGCTATCTCAATGAGGTTTAGCTTTAATCTCTATCTTTTTCATCGTATTGTGGACATTGTTACGACCAGAAAAATCGACTTTTAATTGTAGCCAACAAAAAACACAAATCAATAATAAAAATTAACAAGATTTATTATACACAAGTTTACAAGAAGTATTACACAAATAGTAACGTCAACTTAACTGTCAAAATATGAGTCCAATCTTTTATCTTTTCTTTATCCGGAAATCTTCTTGGAATCCACAGAGAATATTACGTCCAATAGGTCACAATCTAGTATGATGTAGTTTGTAAATAAAACGTGTCAATCCAACTGTAGAGAATGTTGATGTCTATCGATGTCTATGTCTATCTAACTTTAGGGTCTGCATACTTATATATATACTTATAACGGAAACTTCTAGATAACGGTAGATGTTTAAATTACGCATCTTTTGTTATGATCATTCTGGAAACGTTATGTAAGTGAAATAGAAAGTTCTAATCATTCCATGAGTATCAATGATTAATCCAGTGATTTCTAAACTGCATAGCTGTAACACAATGTGTATTATTTTGTACACAATGTAAAAATATATAATAGGCCACACAAAATAAATTAGGCTAACTAAATAAAAATGGTAGTTACAATATCATAACAACATGTCCTCTAGATATGATCCATTTCTTTTGGATTTATTGTTGTGATGCTATCTCAGAGAGGTTTAGCTTTAATCTCTATCTTTTCGTCGTATTGTGGACATGTCCTCTAGATATGATCCATTTCTTCTGGATGAATTGTTGTGTTGCTATCTCAGTGTTTAGCTTTAATCTTTATTAATTATTAAATTATTATATTTAATAATGTTACATGCTTGTAGTGTTTATGTATATGACATATTTCATTTTTTGTTAGGAAAATTCAAAAAACATTATATAGTCACGTATTCCTGGAATAACGTTAACTGGTACGCTATCCACCTGAACCGTCCTGGCTCAACGTTTCCGGAAAGAATTACAAATAAAGTCTGGGAAAACATATTTTAACTATGAGCACTCGTGGATTGGTACCTAATGTTTTGTCTTTTTGTCTTTTTGTCATTTATTTTAGTGTGCATCGTACCGATCTGATAAGTAAAGTCCTTTCCAACTGCGTTTTACAGCTTGTTCTTATTTTGTGCTGTAACATGACTGTCCCAGATTATGGTAGTGTTTGTTGTTGCTTGCTTTAAGCCACAATTTATTTTCGTTTATTGGTTTTTTCTTTTAATTTGTTTCAGATTTTTTTTCATTTGGCTTATGATCATGCAAACTTTGAAAAAAAAATCATAAAAGTCGAATTTTAGACAGGTTTGATTGATTGGTTTGTGTTTGCTTACCATCCAGTGAAAGATATTTCTTTCACTTTTAGGAAGACAACAAATGAACAATAATACAATAGAGAAGTTATGCAGAATGTGTCGACCAGAATGGTTAGCACGGATTCCGTCTGCAACTGAAAAAGAAGGGCATGCTCGACACGGACACAAATTTTGCTTTGCAGGCCTCATATTGAGTCATAAAAGAGTTGTTTTAATCCGATGCCTCGAGTAGGGAAAGTGCCACGCTCTCTGCATGATAAAAAAAACATTACAACAGAGAGCGTGGCATTTTCCCTACTCGAGGCATCGGATTAAAAGTCCCCATTCCGACCGGACGTGGCTTCGTATTTATACATCCCACATTATACAGCCCTTCTTCAGTATCGGCTTTACTGCCGGAAGAAAGATGTCAAGAGATGTTCATATTTCCATACCCCAGTCAACTCTTTATGATTTATTTAGAACGAGAACAATCAATAGATCCAGTAAGTAGGTTCTATAATATGGGTCGATTTTAATGAAGGTTGGATGATTTGAATTGCCACTGAAATAAAAGAGTTTATGTTCGGATATGCCTGGACTATAGAATACGTTTCAACTATTTATAGTTGGAATCATGAGTTCCTCTGTGTTTCCCTTCTTTTTTGATATGGGTCTGTTGATAATTTACACACTTTTACAAAGTTCTTGCGTATCAAAATTCCAGTTTAGTCTAATTTTTAAAATGAAATAATGTTATTTATCGATCTGCATTAAGCGTAACTTCGCTGTTTTAAATTTCGATTCTCGGTATTAGTATTCATACTAATAATAATGATAATTAGTTTATATAAAGAGGGTGTCTCAATTAACATTAACTGGCCCTCACAAAAAAAACCCCAAAAAAACATACAGAACAAGTATTACAAATATTACATTTTTTGAACATATAATTCAACTTTCACACTAAATAAATGTCTGTAGAACAAGAAAAAACAAAATTATACATTATACACAATCATTTAAAAGACATGACAGAGTCAGATAGTTGTTACATATCATTTATAGTTAAAAAAATCTACACATTTTTTTTTAAAGTACACAGATTTTCACATAGTTTATTTCATTTGATAGTTTATTCCAAAGTATTTAAGAGCTATATGTGAATGATTTTTTCATCGAATTTTTATTACGCCTCACTACAGCTAGATTATTGTTTGCAGAAGATCTTAAACTTCTGTTGTGTAGGTTTATAATTGTTTATAATTCCATTTGCTTGAATGATTTAGAAAATTTTAGTCGTCAGGGAGGGGAGAAGAAAGTATGTACGGATTGTCTGACAGTACGGGTATTCGAGGCCCGATCGAATTGTTGTTTAGTTATACTTTCAAAATGGCGTATGTATCGGCTGAAACTAATATCCTCGTGAAGATTAAATGAAGACATCATCCACATTATATGTATTAATTCTACAATAATTGGAAACTATTTATTATGTGGCGAAAAATTAGTCGTCACTTCTTTTTGTTCTTTGTCTTCTTCTGTCGCCTTTGAATTGTACTTTTAACGCTACCAAATTTACCAGCATTTTTGTCTAAAAAAGATAATTATCTGCTTTTACATACAGAAATCACCTGACGCTTGTTTAGTTCTAATAATAAACAAGTGCTTCCAAAACCAATATACATTATACTTCAGAAGGGGTCTATACTAGATATGAAAAGTACACGAAATAACTTATTAACATACTTGTAATTAAACCATTTTGTCACAACAGCAGACCTTTAAAATAAGGAACATTCTAGCAATATTTAAGACTGGATAACAAATATTTTCAACATTCTAAAAGTGTAGTATCATGTCATTTACCTCTGTAAAATGTGCCGTCTTGCGATAAACCTTTGGCAATTGCTGCGTTCTTTTCGGCTACTAATTTTTTCTGCAAAGAAGAAAATCATAGATATCATTTGAATGGTGGCTAGAAAATAAAACCTTTTAGACTAAAGTGTCATTATGAACACGAAAACCACAATTCTTTTTAACATATACATTGTATATATAGACTGGAGAAATAAAAGGAGATGTGATTAGTAAATCAAACAGCGATCCTGCGACATAGGTTAACAAAAATAACAACATCCCCCCCCCGAAAAAAAAATCCTCTGAATGCCAGACACATCGGAACACCACTTTACGGTTTCAACTTCTCTCCCTAGCAAGTCCTAGCAAACCCAAAATCGTCTAAAATTAGAAAAGTATATTTAGAAATTTAGGATTGTTTCGACTTTCAAACAGTTCTGGCTTGTCCTGAGCAAATTGAATAAGCTGAGCATCTTTTGTAAAAAAAAATAATCTTGACGAACCAATGTTTTAGAACTGTATGCACCTGAAAGAACTAAAACTCTGAAATACCTATCTACAGATGACTGATAATTTTGAACAGGTCTGCAGGCATTTAGATCGATTAGCAACATCGTTATTACAGAAATATTACAATCATATACTTGGGAAAGAATACGTAAGTTTGACAAAATACTTTAATATCTAAAATTGCATTCAAACATACATGCAAAAATAAAAACAAACAAACAACAAACAAACAAACAAACAACAATCAAATCCCATTCCCCTCAAATTAGTTTGCCAATTTTCCTAAGACAACCTTTCTTTTTTATTTTCTTATTCATTTGATCATCCAATAGATAAAATCTATATGTCACTATCACCACAACAAAGCATATCAATATACAATACCCATTTTTGAGCTTCTTTTGCTCCATACAGAACCTAAAGCGAGAAATAAAAATAGTTAATGAATTCTAAAATAAGATATCTTTTATTTTTACAATTTTAAAATTACACACTGAAACTCTTCCTTTTTTAAGGCTGTGGGAAAGTGAGGAAAAAGAGAGGCGAAAGATACCAAAGGGACATTCAAACTCATAAGTTAAAAATAAACAGACAACGCCTTACCAAAAAAGAAAAAAAAACCAAAAGATTAACGACATTATACAAAAAAAAGTAAAAATAACAAAAATACCGAATTCCAAGGAAAATTCAAACTTTGGTACAGGCATTTCCTTATGTAGAAAATGGTGGATTAAACCTGGTTTTATAGCTAGCTAAACTTCTCACATGTATGATAGTTATATAGAATTCCATTGACAACAATGTGTGAGCAAACCAAACAGACATAATAGGTGAAAATGTCAAAAATTTGGGTACATCAGTCAAAATTGTGTTATAATCTTAATCACTATAAAAACAAATAACTATTTCAACAAAACAAAATTGCATAAAGACTCTCTATAGACAAAGTACATAAGCAAAAATGAAAGGCATGAATACAAAAATGACCATAGCACAATAACACATTGGCGGGATGTATTAATAATAGCAACGCCCAAAGTATATACCAAAATGGACTAAACAGTTTAACAGGTTACAAATATGCAAAGACAACTAAAAAGAACACTATAACACGTAATTAAGATGATTAACAACGTCAATACCTAGAATTCATACTTCAAGACCATCATGAATTATTTGTGAAGTTGATATGGAAATTTTATCGCAAGGTCTTGTTATCTTCCGATGAACTTTTTTTGGAAAAGGACAAGAAGTTCTTTGACATAACCCTGATTCATCAACTTTCTGCTCAGACACTGGTGACGTTAGACACCACATAGAAAGCTAAAGACTGAGCAACACGAACCCTACCAAAAAAAGGTGCTCCAGAAGGGTAAGCAGATCCTGCTCCACATGTGGCAAAGTGAAAGTGACATTTAAGTAGTTTTATTTACACAAAAGTTTCATTCATCAAACCACTTGACATTAAGCATGCACCAATCAATCAATCATTTGTCTCATATCTAAATACTAGTTTCTTGTTTTACTATTAACTATTTGTACTGATGAAGTTTATTGATAAAAAGTGATAGTACCATCGGTGAAGTACGAACAGCTTACCCTTCCAGGGAAACTGAGCTTACAGTAGACAGTTAACATTTAGGTTGCTCCATCACATCATATTGTTCACAATGAAATCATACTCGTCATTTGATTTATCTCAAAATCAGTTGGCATGTAGATTACTGATAAGGTTTTTAACAGAAATGACAGTTCAAACCTGGTCTCTGTTGAAAACAATTTATAGAAAAATTACAATATTTCGTGAGCGCTCAACCTACCCTCCCCCCTAACTAAAACAGTTATGTTACAGCACAACATAAGAACAAACTTTAAAAAAAAACCAGTTGGAAACTACTTGACTCATCACATCGACAAGAAGAACATAAAACAAATTACAAAAACAAAACAAAAGCGCTGATCTAAAAGTGTTTTGTCTCGCAGTTACTAAAGCTAGTTCAAATCCAATTTTAACGAATAAATGAATAGAATTCTTCATGCAGAACAGATAAAAATATCAAAGCATTAGGTTCTAGTATAACAGGCAAATTTTTCTTTTTCTTACCTGTTTTAGAACGATATTGTGTTGACAAATTATACAATATTACCTAGGAATAAATTTGCATGATAGATGAGTTCGCAATTTATTTTTACATGATAGTATTTTACTTACTCTGTCAAGTGCGATTTGTTGATTACTAGTAGTGTGTTGGTTTTGTTGTTTTTCAGGATTTGACGTTCCACATCCCATAGTACATGGCTTGGTAGGTTTAATGCAGTGTCATGGCAGGGCACTTAGTTGTATATGGTTGTAAATATGTACAGAACCACTGAAAAATCGGAAATGCCGCAAAGTATTAGATTACAAGAATAATGAAAGGAACGAATAAGGACAGTATACTAGAATACACAATATATTAATAATTAACATTTTTAAGTTTTCCCATCAAATCCTACTGATCACTACGATATCATTTGCCAATGGTTTATTGAGCCTTTGATTTTTTTAACCGTCTTGCAGGTAGCTACCAAGGGGTAATAAAAATTCATGTCAAAAATTGGCTGCAACAGGGCAAAAGAGAAAAAGAGAAGTCGATGAAAAAACAGCAGTCTTATATGTACATATATGTATTAATGCAAGATGCAACTGATCAACGGACGCATGAACGTAATTACAAGGTTAACACGATAAACCAAAGCCAAATTTCAGACAAAATTAAAACTCTGTATCGGCCTTTTGATGCCAAGTTCTTAGACGTTTTATATTTTTGGCTACCAAACTTTTAATCGAGAGTAAACTTGATTCATATTTCAGAAACATGTGTTATGCGCACACGAAACATACATGTTTTTATATTCTACCACTGGTCTGTACTGCTGCTTGTAGACTATCAGTCACCAAGGGTACCATCAGGGTACCATCAGCCCAGTAGCTAGTGTTTCGGTAGAGGCATTATGCAAATGACATACTATGTCATTAAATTTCTAGTTCATGATATTTTGTTACTGTTTTAACGTTTTATGAACGTCTGGATGGGGTCCTATACTTTATTCTTTAACTTTTTGACAATTTGTCTCTATTCTTTATTTAGTTTTTTCCCATTATTCTCTATTCTGTTTATGTCAGCACCCCATGGCCATAATTCTCTATTTTTTCCTATTTTTCTCTATTCTCTGTTTTATCATTTTTGGGGGTGAGTTATCATGGCTCATGTGTAAATAGTTATCAAAGGTACCAGGCTTATAATTAAATACGCCAGACGCGCGTTTCGTCTGCTTAAGACTCATCAGTGACGCTCAGATCAAAATAGTAATAAAGCTAAACAAGTACAAAGTTGAAGAGCATTGAGGACCCAAAATTCCAAAAAGTTGTGCCAAATACGGCTAAGGTAATCTATGCTTAGGATGAGAAAATCCTTAGTATTTCGAAAAATTCAAGCTTTTGTAAACAGTAAATTTATAAAGATGACCATGTGTAACATTGTAATTAATGATGAATTGTTTCTTTTTAAAAATGTGAATTCTATTTTATACATACCGTTTGTTGTAACTCCTGTATTCTCTTGGTTTTTGAAAATCTTTATTCCAACTTTGTTTCAATGTTAGAGTAAAAATAAAGTACTATAATGACTAAAATTTCACAAATTGAAAAATAAGTGGTAAAAATCTAGGTCGAATTAATTAAAGAGAACATACAATTAGTTTTATTACTTCTTTTATGATTTGATCAATCGAAACCAAGCGTAATATATCTTTTACAAATCCATTTAATAGAAGAAAAACAATTCATTTGATCATTTGAATGCCTAAACAGACGTATAAATATATTAAAAAAACATACATGTATTACAGGTTCTTAATATGAATATAAAAACAGTGAGAAAAAACTCTAAAAATGAAACGGTTTTAATGGTAAAATTCATAAAAACTGATGATCTTTTATTTTAAGTGCTGCAAGTATTTTTTTTTCTGAAAACATAAAGTCAAATTAAGACTATCAATTTCATAACATGATGCATAAGCATTAACCTACTTGATATTTAAATCTTCAATCACTCCAAAGTGTATATAAGACACTCATTGTGGTACACTATATTTTTAGTTTTAATTTTGCAATTAAAAACAAAGTTTTTATAGAATCACCATCGAAACTAAATACGAAACGGGTTTTTTTTACGGATAATAAAGTTAGTAAGAGAGACCAGGAACATAAATCGAGTTTTAAACAAAGTCACACAAGGACGAGATGTTGAATATGATAAGATCTCACTGTTTCATCCGACAGATATGTTTAACAGTTAAATGAAAAAGCACATATACAGTGCGATTTATAAAAAGAGAAAACGGGAAAATTGTGTCAATCTAACTTTGCCAACAAGAGAGAAAGTTGTAATTTAGAATTCGGATTAATAGAAAAATCACATTTTTTTAAATACTGTACACATTCTATACAATAACTGCCGTGTCAATATTTGGCATAACAAATCGGCCAATTATTCGACTCAGTCTTTTTCGAATGAACTAATACAAAGGGAAACAACTCTAAGGTTGATGCAGTAGTGAATTATAAGCAATGCTTTTGGGATGACATTTTGCATGTATTTATTTTTCTTTCACCGGTATGAATAAATATTCAAAATTTGAAATTGTTGAAAATTAGAGTTATCTTGTAATGTCAAATTGATATAACGACCAGAGAGATGATCGGCTGACCTTATTGTGATAATGATGATGATGGTGATTGGTGATTGTTTAACGTCCAAGTGGCAAGTTAAATGTATATTTGTCTGTTGCCCAATCCAATCAATGTATTTTAAATAATATAGTGTTTAGATTAAATTAAAGTTAAACTGTATATTCAGGACTATACCATGTTAATGTGATGTGAATATGAACCCTGTTTTGTACTAGACCGACACGCTGAGCCGGAGTTTTAACGTGCTAGTTCACAAGGTAACAGTCCGCAGGAAGACATGTCATCATACACGGAAATTATTCTGAATCTGGGCAAACCAGTCTTTGTTCTTACTCCTAAATACCGTATGCCTAGCGGAAAAGCAGAAAATATCAATGTTCAAATCTTTGGTTTGATCCGGCCGGGGGTTCGACCTCCCGCACTCGAGGCGAGCACCCTACCACAACACCACTAAGGCGGTCATTTTAGTATGAAGAACGTTTTTTTTCATCTATCACATGCTTCAAAATTTATAAAATGCATCTACTACACATTCCCCTCTGTGTGTATCATTAAGAACAGGAATGCAAATAAAAAAATGTAGATTTAAAAAAAACAACCGTAAGATTCTATATATACAAGTCCAATTAAACGTTTTTATAGAGAAGTACTTCTTGTTCTTTTGTGTTTTTTTTAAAGAAATGACAGAGAAGAATCAATGCACAACACCTCATTTTGGGTACTCGCGAGGCAATCGCAATTATTTGTGTATGTCGATTTATCTTTGACGCCTACAGATTTGGTTATTCTGACAAATGTTTAACTTTCGAATGTGTTTGAAGACTAAACGCTCTCGGAAGAAAGCTTTCATTTTGGGTCTAAACAACAAAAGTTTTCAGATAAAAAGTACCTTCTAAGTTATCCATAGACTGGTTCTAGTTATCCACGTTTTATCATACATTACCCCGTATTCATTGTTTAATAATGTATGGGATATAATAACTTGTTCAGGGACTTTGCCCGATGGATATGAACAAATGAAGATTTGGGTAATGTGTATTTGAGACAGCAATCAAACTACACACAAAACCCATCTTAAGGTCTGTGCATTATCTTCAACGATAGATATATGTCTATGTCATATTAAAACAACTACAACAAAACGGCAATAACCTGGGAGAACATGACTTATTCATATTAGTTGTAATTGGCTTTAAACTACCTTTCAGTAACTACTAGTACTCATATATTTTATTTTAGTTGTGCTTTTGTGTTCCGTACATATATATTTAGTTAAGCCATTTGCACCTGAATTTTACAGTTTGGTCTTATGATGTATTGTTACACGGTCACCACTGTCCTAGATTAGGAGACAGGTTTAGCGCTCACGCAGATGTTTAATCTTGCCACATTCTTAATATCCCTGTCTCAAGCTAGGAGTCTGTAATTCAGTGGTTTACATTGGTGCGTGTCTGTCATATTTGTTTTTCGAAAATTGTATTGTTATAGATAATGCCGTTAGTTTTTTGGTTTATATCCTCGTCATTTGAACTCTGGTGGGTAGTGGTATCATTGACAATTATACCTCATCTCTTTATTTTTATATAATGATGATAATGTAATAATAATAGGAAGAAGATTGAAGGGATGAAGAAGGTTCCTATTTTGGGGGGCAGGACATCAACAAAAAGAAATTGTTCAAGAGATATGGAAATGTTTATGTAACCAAAATAAACTAAAATAAAGGTGAACATTAGTTTTACTATCAACAATGGTATGAAATTTAACAATACAAACATTGATACATACACATTCCAAACATTCAACAGTATCATAGAAATAAAATAGCATGATCATATTTAGAGTTAATTTATACATGAAGATTACGAATTCAAAAAACGAAACAATAGCCATGCATTATTTCTCTTCATTAAAACATACATTTATCGAAACAAATTATGACTACTAACAACTGTTGGTGCCTTTGGTGTGATCATCATCCACTTATTTCCATGGTCCATACGTTGGTTTTGTTTGTATGGTTCTTATAACAGTCTTTTCTGAAATAGATAATACAGTTTTTTTTTATGAAATCTTAGTTAAACTATATACAGTTTCATATTTTCACTTTTTCTCATTTCCTTAGAGTATCATTAAACAACTTTTTAACAACTAATTAAATATTTTAATGTCAAAGCTTAATTTCATTGAAAGAGGCTAACAATGAAGAAATTGATTGTAAGGTTCATAATGGTAAAGTTGAAATTAACTTTTCGAAAGGTTAACGGGCGTCATAATGATTTTGTTAGGTGGCGATAATGGAGTAATTTTTTGTAAGTTTTTTTTGTTCATAAAATGATAAAAGTTTTGGAACCAATAAATTATTTCTTTCCCAAGGCATAGATAGCCTTAGTCAAATTTGGCACAACTTTTGAATATTTGGGTGGTTTTCAATACTCTTCAGCTTCGTAATTGATTTGGACTTTTAATTTTTTCGATTCGAGCATCACTAATATGAGGGTTATGTAGATGAAGTGTGCGTCTGGCGTAATGAATTATAGACCTTATATATTTGATCAGTTGTCATAGATCAAATTTATTCGTTCAGTGTATATTCACTTGTTTTTGTTAATATGTCTTTTTGATTGAGTTAAGCCATTTCAATTGATATTTTATAGTGTGTCGTTCTATGTTGTGATGTTACACTACTGTTTCAGGTAGGATGAATGTTGGCGCCTATAAAAACGTTAAAACCCGCTGCATTTGTTTGCACCTGTCCTAAGTCAGGAACCTGATGTTCAGTGTTTGTCGTTTGCTGATGTGGTTCATAAGTGTTTCTTGTTTTTTATATAGATTAGACCGTTGGTTTTCCTGTTTGAATGGTTTTACACTGTCTATTCATTTTTGAGGCCCTTGATAGCTTGCTGTTTGGTGTGAGCCAAGGCTCCGTGTTGAAGGCCGTACTTTGACCTATGATGGTTTACTTTTACAAATTGTGACTTGGATGGAGAGTTGTCTCATTTGCTCTCATACCACATCTTCTTATATCTAATTGATGCATAATAATTGGAATTGTAAAACATGCTTACAGAAATGGTAAAAATGAATTAAAAGATGTTAACCAGATCTTCCAATTTACTAAGTTAATTTGTCTTTAATAAGTTTGAGATAAGTAAAATTTCTGAGATCATACCATGTCTAAAGTAAGTTTAGAAAATCATCCGAGTTATTTGGAACAAGAAATCAGGAAAGACAACTCGTCTCTTTTACAAGATATGAGACGATTACGCACTGTTTATATTTGACTTATTCAATGTATTATACTTTACACCAATCACATAGCCTTATATCAAACGGTTAACTGAAAAAAGAAAAGAAAAGCCAAATCTAATTATCTTATATTAAGAGAAAATTGAATGTTATTTTTATTTGAAGTTCGTACCATTTTGGAAACTATACCTCTTCTGATTATCAAACCTTCTAGAATCCAAGTTTTGTATTGCTACAGCTTTCTTCTAAAAATACATTAAAATCAAATTAATATAAATTATAATGTCTTAAGCCTGCTGTACAATAGATGAACGTATTTCGTATTTCTATTTTGTTTAGAATTAAGATTTTAACATTGTATACTTATTTTAGTCATAGTCCTGCTAATAGCTTCATCCTATCATATTTGTGCTTTGTCCCGTGGTATCATCATATTCGCAGCGAGTACAATTTGTTAGTGACTATGGCGACTTTAATGGTCATCAACTAAACACGCACCTGACATGTTGTACTGGAGATTTTACCTTGTGAAGTCAAAATCGAAAAGCTCATGTTCAATCATAATATAACATATAGTTGCTACTAAGAAATGACTTGGTCATCACTTGGAGTTACTATAACTACAGAAAAGCCAAATGTTAGAGAAAACAGTAGGTTGCAGTGTCCAACAATTGTAAATCCATTTGGAATATACACACCAACACAACAACAAAAAACCAGGGAAATTGCATGAATGCTAAACGGA